ATGTCCTGGAAAGGCTGTAGGACATTCAAGAAAAATGTAGGACCTGACCACAGATAAGATAAAAACACCCACATAGAAAGGTCAACTCGTGCTTCTAAAGTCATATAAGAAACATACATCCATGCCTCTTAGCGATGCTCAAGATAGGGCCTTTGCAGACTGCCAGAAATAGTGCACATTAAATTGAGGCACTGCCCTGGCTCAGTGCTAGGGAATCATGGGAATTGTATTTTTTTCTGAGACATTGAGCCTTCTCTGTCAGAGAGCTCTGGTGCCACAATAAACTACAGTTCCCTAGATTCCCTAGCACTGAGCCAAGGCAGTGCCTCAATTTAACGTGCACTATTTCTGGCAGTCTGCAAAGGCCCATAGAGGACGTTTTGGAATTCCTCCTGAACAGAAGGCTGGAATGTAGGACGTGTCCTAGGAAGGCTGTAGTAGGACATTAAAGAAAAACGTAGGACGTGATCAAAGGCAAGCTACAAACACTCATATAGAAGGGCCAGCAAGTGCTTCTAATGCCACATAAGAAACATAAATCCATGCTTCTTAGCCATACTCAAAACGTGAGTAAGGGGGGTTGCAGACTGCCAGAAATAGTGCAAATTGAGTCCACTTTTAGGGTTAGGGTTAGTGCTAGGGAATCATGGGAATTGTTTTTTTTTTCTGAGACATTGAGCCTTCTCTGTCAGAGAGCTCTGGTGCCACAATAAACTACAGTTCCCATGATTCCCTAACTCTAACCCTAACCCTAAAAGTGGACTTAATTTGCACTATTTCTAGCAGTCTGCAACCCCCCTAAGTTTGAGAATCCTCGAGGAGAGACGCCTGGAATGGAGGAGGATGTGTCCAGGGAAAGGAGGACGTTCTGGTCGCCCACCTCTGCCCCTCACAGCCCTCCCTCAGCAGAGGCCTCCGCCGCCATTTTCCAACCCTTCTCCCTTTGCTTGAGGCAGGCTCCCTCAAGGCGGGCGCCATCTGCTGGCCGCCTGGCGCCAGGGAGGAAAAAGGTTACCTGGGCAAGGCTTGTCCCGTATAGTCTCCAGCCTGAGGCGACGAAGATGGCTTCCTGTCCTTCTTCTCCCTCAGGGCTCCTTCTCTTCCCCAGCAAAGGCCTAGTCTTTGGCTCCCCGCCTCTCTCCTTCAATGGAAGCCAACCCAGGCACATCCCTCTTCCATGCCAGTGACAGAAAGCACCATTATATTTTGTAGCCCAGCCCCAACCCCGCCTCTTCATGGCCGCCGTTGTCGTCGTCGTCGTCGACGCCCCTTTGGTCCCAAACACACTGCAGGAATAACCCAGTTTGAGACCGCTTTAACTGCCCTGG